CAGGATGCTTTTGGGAAAGCCGATGCCGGTGATCAACGTCTTCGATGGTATACGGTCACGGAGCTCAGCAAGTTTATCTGCGAACTTTGCGCTAAAGAGATGCAGATGAGCAAGTCGAAGGTGCTCGGACCGAAGTCGAAGTACAATCCCTCTTCTTGCGTGAACTGTTGCGCGAACTGGAACGCGGACACGAACGGTATTGCAATGTCTATCGAGGGGAAGAAAATGTACACGCGCCTCTTCGCGGAATGCGTGGTGGCAATCCCCGACCTTCAAAACCTCATGGTGGACGTCAACAATATCCAGGCCATGATCACGATCATACGGGAGCTCGCGTACTCAAGGCTGAAGAAGGAGCTTTCTCACGTGGGATTCGTGAGCATGACTGTGGATCAAGCAGCACAGTTCTACAACAACGGTCACGGGAAGCAACTGTGCGCATCCCGGGATGTGATCGTGTGCAAGAATTCCGAGGGAGTCGAGGAGAGGATGTCCATCTTCGTGATAGGCAAAGATCTTGGCAATGTGGCATATTCGTCCTGGATCAAGAGTGTGCTCGACCAAGGAACGATGTATGAACTCCTGGGACAAACCACGAACGAGGAATCCTTGGGAGACGTCGTCGAGATGGTGTTGGGATTCTTTGAGGTGATGTCGTACTTCCAGCACGAACTGCCACTGTGGAAGGATGCATGGAAGATCAAGAGGGAGTTCGAGCAGTCAATAGTGCGACACCTCGCTGGGAACGTGACCCACACGACGGGCCAGAACAGAAAGCGGAACAGACCGTCCGCACAGCTCGGCGTGCCCACGAAGGAGGTGCTTGACATCATGAACAAGGTCAAGCCCAGACATCCACGATCCCTGATCACCGAGCCCTCTGCACAAGGGTCCAAGAGAAAGGCCACGGAGGGCGAAGATGAGGGTCTTGGTCAAGCACCAGACCCGAGTCGAAGTTCTCAGCCCAATGCTGAGAAGGAAGATAAGAAGCAGCGAGTGATCGACGGGCGGAGAGCGGCACTAGGATTCCTGGAGTCAATGGAGAAGTGCATGGGAGATATGGGGATCTGTAAGAAGTGCGCAAACCTGGCCCACGACGGCGACTGCAAGGACATTGAAGAGGCTGCTGGAAATGAGAAGGCGATGAAGGTGCTCCGTGAGCTACTCAGCAGTGACCCTGTTTCATCTGATGAAGACATGGGGGATACGGAGGAACCGACCTCATCAACGTCCAAGGAAAGAAAGAAAGGGGGACAAGCAGGGAAAGAAACAATTGAGATGTACAGCTACACTATTAATTTGGTGGAGATGGCTGACACGGCTGAGGGAGGAGAGCTACAATGTGGTGGCGTCGACCTCACCTACAACCCGTGCGGGGACAGCAGGACATTCAAGAAGACGCTTGAGATGGGATGCGACACCATCCCGTGCTACATCCCGAAGTATGGCGATGTGAGTGATGTGCACTTGCCATGGGCGTATGCGTCCATCGTTGACCCCAAATACTTTCCCAAAGGTGCAATCCTTGAGCAAGTGGACGTGATGCAACTTGGCAAGAGTGTCAACTTCTGCATTGCTCCTTTCGACGGTGCTCCACTATGCAGGATTGGTGATGATCGCTCGGTATTTACTACAAGGGACCAAGCAAACCAGCTATCTCACGACCTATGCAGAGTCCTTCGACACAAGATCGGCAATTGCCGAGGAAGTGCTTTCAGGTGCGACGAGGGTGGATGGGTCGACATTGATGCTGTCATTGACGACCGGAACAACGACATATTCCCACCATACACCACGAGAGCGAAACGATACATGGGCATCATGGAGGTGATCAAGTGGCAGGAATCCGGAAGCAAGAAATCGAGATTCCAGGTTCTGGCAGCAAGGTTTCCGAGCATCATGAACCCGAACGACACGAGGGCAGCCAGGGAGGAAATGACCAAGGCTGGCGTGGATCGGGACGACATCGACAGGATGTTCAACAGATGCGATGGATGGTACAGACCTTGGTGCATCCGAGTCACAACCGGTCACAGTGATTTTGGATTCATGAGCTCATCCGCACTGGCGAATAGGTATTCCGCAAGAATGGGTGATTCTCTCGGAGGAGCATTCCATGTGACGTATGTGGAAAACCTGCCAAGCATCGTACGCTGTGGGTTAGTCCCCGGCGGAATCGATGGCGGCAACAGGCTAGCATTGCACTTCGGGGCGTTTGCTCCATGGGATGAGATGAACGTGGCGACGAAGACAACGCTACGGAACGTGAGGAGAGGGGATCCGATTGCGATCATCTACATTCCCAGTGCAACCCTCGCGCGGTATGGGGCTGGAGTCGCGGCTAATGGGACTTTCATGGTCTTTGACGTGATCCCGTTCTATGAGGTCAAGTCCATTTGGATTGGCAAGAGCAACGGAGGGAAGCGCCTGGAGTACGCTGACATCAAGAGGGCGTACTCGAAGTGTGTGGAGAACGAGATCTGCCCTGGCTTTGTCAACTCTTCCCAAGAGTCGGCTGCGATGTTCCTCCAGAACGTCGCAAAGATCAGCGAGAGGATGCCGGAGACTGAGACAGGTGCCGATAATCTGCACTACATCGTTGACATGGTTAATCGTGCTTGCGAACTCTATCGAAACAACAAGATGGAAGAGTTCAACGCACAGGTCAACGAGGTCCGGGACGAAGTCAGCAAAGTCGTCATCCTGAATGATGAGACATGGGAAGGACTGAGGTGCCGGATATGTCCATCATGTGCGACCGCGATCCCCACCTGCTTCTGCTTATGCCTGGAGTGCGAGGCACAACTGATCTCCATCGGAAGATACTACATTCACATCAAATCCGATGACGAGGAGGACAACCAAAACCCCAACGTCTCTGGAGATGCCAGGCGTGCACAGGAAGAAGCTAACCACGATGCGGCAGCACAGGAGGATGAAGACGAAGCGGAGGAAGTTCCGGGAGAAGATGACGACATGGACACGCAAGGATATACATCCGGCTATGCGTCAGAAGAAGAAGACAGCGGTTGGCATTACCGCGACACCGATCTGGCGTCACGGGACATTATAAGTTCCCAACGGATGGCGATCTGCCTTGACGAGCCGCGTGAGGCTCAGTACATGGCAGGATTTATCGCACTCCAGCTGTCCAAGATGTGGGGGATGTTTGAAGGTGGTGAGGAGAGAACGATGAATGCCGGACTCGAAGGGAATCCGGGCTGCCCTTATCACAATGATTTCAAGAGGTACCCCAACATCACTGAGCATGATCAGGAAGGTATACTTTTGCCATCAACAATAACGAAGATTTCTCAATCGGAGAATGTTCGGACAAGAGCCTTCCGATCGGTTGAGGAGCGTGACGAATATATTCGTATGATGGTGAACAAATGCGAGGGACTATACACATTCTACAAGCTGTGGATTGCAGCAAGAATCCTCGATGTCACCAAGGAAGAAATGAAGCTCCTGGTCAAGGACCGAGTGCACCCGGTGGGTGATATTATTTTCAGATGTTTTGCACTAGCTTTCAACTGCAAGTATATATCATTCGTGAGGGATGGCCTAAACCTTGGCAAGCATGGTTACACGGTCAACGTGAGCGCCATCATCTCGGCCGTCGACCCGAACAAATGCGACACACCCCTGCTGGATTGGTGCCTTCGGAAAGGGCACTGGTTGCCAGAGGACTACAACAAGAAGTGTGTCCGGGCACGAGAAGCCCAGAAGAACTTGGACGAGGAGTTCCGCCGACGTACCCATAGGCTGTCCATTGGGGACAGGTATGCTTCGTGAAGATGATGATTGCGGTACGATGTGGGCCAGTCCCCATCTGTTACTTGCGTCACATCGACACTGTTTCGGTGGAACGACTTATGTCATGATTTATATTCATGTGTCCAAGATGATTGGGTGTGTACATGGTTACATATTCCGACGACTATGACGCTCTGGATATTCATGGATGGAATTATTACCTTATAGATGATATCTTTTCATTATTTATGCATTGTCCATGGTATCTGGAATGGCTACGATTTGCATTGATTACTCACCGATGTTTCTTTGCCGGAGATATGCAGACCGATCACAAGCGGGCGCGTCTGGTGGACTTTTGTGGCCAACCCATTTATGGATGACAGCTGCGCGATGCGCAAATGCGGCAGCTGGAATGTTCACTGGCGGTCAAGTGAAGTGGCCACAGTGTATTATATACACCTGCATATGGATGTGTGCTTCGATTGGAGGATGAATGTTTCACTTTTCGTACAATCGAACCCGGCATGTTTCACAGCGAATGAACGGTGTAGTGATAGCAAGTAAAAGAATGCACGACACGATTTCGTAGTTGAAGCCGTGGCCAGTGGAACGTTTTGTGGTGTTTGGACCGCATGATGAACAATGCGACCCAAATGGGGGATGTTAAAACCCTCTAGGCCCCGTGCCGAAATTGGGTAGCTGTTCTGAGGTCCTTGTTGGTGTTGCTTCCCAAGTTCCATTGATCGCCATTTGGCTCAAGACACAATTGAGGTTCAAGATCTGATGTGTGACTGCAGACCTACGTGATCGGCATTAAGAGCAAAACAACTGCTTGCGCCGCATTTGTCAGGACCACTGTTGTAACTATCATTCCTTCTCCCTTACAACGTTTACACGGGTTCGGCTATAACGGCATCGTCCGTATACACCTTTCTACGTGGTTGGTATTAAAGCTTGAGGGTTCGGTGCACAGCGTCCCACGGGACGTCACCTTGCCGTCTCTTGACAACTTCTTTGCCGCCAATATGAACACCTTGAGCCGGCCTGAGCTTGCCCATGCGCTCCGTGCCATCATTCTTTGTGGGCCGTCGAAGACAACCCGCTGCCCAATCATTGTTGGCCCGAGCAACTCTGGCAAGACCACCCTTGTCCTCCCGTTCGACGACTTGTTTGGGGCTGCGCGGGTTTTTCACAAGCCAGCGTTGAACAGCAACTTCCCCCTTGTGAACTTGTCCAAGGACAAGAGGTTCCTTTTCTTTGACGACTTCCGGCCCATCGAATACGCGCAGGGCACCATCGATGTGAGCACTTTCCTGTCTCTCTTCAACGGGCACCCCTTTGAAATTCGCCAAAGCCAGGCGTTCCGGAACGGCAATGAGGATTTTGCTTGGAGGAAGGGGTGTTGCCTTACTGCAAAGGAGAAGGAATTGTGGGCGCCCTGGGGCAAGGTCAGCGAGGAGGATGTTCAGCGCATGAAGAACAGGACTTCGTGTGCACGGCAGTATTGTCTCATCTCCGTCAGACTGACCCATGTGTGGAGTGCATGTGCGCATGGATTCAAGACGGAGCTGCAGAGGCAGACGCTGAACTGGTGCTGCAGCCAAGTGTGGCCTCTGGGCGTCGCCAGCCTGCTCGCGCAGGGCCGTTGGCTCTGGCGGGCATGGCAGAGCTTGCTGCGCAGGCCAAGCTGCCCAACGAGAAGGTGGAGGCCTTGAGCGCGGAGCTGACAGCGCTGGGCGCCGTCCTCGTAAGGGAAGTGTCGGCAGCAGATTGGACCACGTTGACGGCTTTTAATTCGCTCCTGCCGTTTGAGCGGAGGCGGCTGCTTGCATGGTTCTGCTGACCAGGCCAAATTTACTTGCACGGTGAAGGTTTTTCGTGTTGCGCTTGACAAAAACATCCACAAGGGGCAACGCATGATGTCTTTCAGAGACAATTAGGCAATGGCTTGTGCTAGACGCGATTCCTTTGTGCTGAGGACAAAGCCGAGTTTTCTGTGTCGCGGCCTCAGAGTGTAGCGTGTGTGCTTTCCGTTTGTTAGCGGCGTGAGAAACAACATGTTTAACACTCTAGCTCACAAGCTTGCTTGAAGTCGAAGCCGCGGCGATTTGGTCAGGCCCAATGCCTATAAGCGGCAGTTTCAGGCTGAGCCGTGTTGAGGGAGGATTGATCTGGTCCGAAACAAGGTCTCAAAACCAGACCCCAGTTGACCAAATTCTGACCCCCTTGGCAGAAGTAAGCGTTTTTGTGTTTTCGCCTTAGGGTTTAGTGTGTGTGGTTTCCAAATTTTGCGAGCGGCGGTCAGGCCGCGAGGAGATTTAAGCGAAGGCCGGGGCCACGCGAAGTGTCTAAAATTCCGTGGAACAAACGTTTTGCTAGGTGTTTGCCGTTTTACGTATTGATGCTGTGATTCCGAAGAAGCGCGTGTCTGTTTGTTTCTACTTGCTTTGTAGCTGAGCCACATACAATCGTGATAGACAAGTCAAGAGGTCAATAGGCAGGCAAATGAAATGGATAGACGGAGACATGCGCGTGTGTTGAAGCTTTTTGGATTGTGTCTGCAAGCTTGCTGGAAGCCAAAGCAGTTGGAGTTCAAGCGTTTGCCAGGTCTTGTCATGTGATGTTGGCAGGCCCGACCGTGAAGAAAGCAAAAGCCACCCCCGCTCCCCCGAATTTCAATGTTGCCGGTGCGTATTGCCGGACATGCAACATTGAAATTCGGGGGCACGGGGGTAGAGCGCTGCTTGCCAGACGCACAAAGCTTTCCTCCAGCGTTTTTGCCCTGCAGCCATTTTCAAAGAGACGCGTGGCTGCCAAGTGTGTAGTTGGTTCAGGCCGCTTGCCAGCTGCCAACGTGCGTAACACAGCGCTTCCCGTGTCACTGCAGGTCACCATGGCTCCGAAGCGGATCCAGCCAGAGGCAGCGCCGCCAGCCGAAGCCAATGCGGCAAGTTAGTGTCAACCGCGCGCAGGTCTTGGCAGACGAGCTGGCAGCGCTGAAGCGGCGCCGGGCCCAGATGCGAGCTGAGAACAAGGCCCGCGCCAAGCAAGAGAAGAACACAAAAAAGCGACGCGCCCGCTTACTGCAGGCGAAGCCCGCAGCCTTCTCGCAAAGGGGTTTGTGGGAGGATTGCAAGCGTGCCAGGCAGCCCGCCAGTTGAGCCAGGAAGACCTTGTGCTTTTGCTTCGGCGCCCTGACGGCCCGCTGCTAGGCTTGAGTTGCTCTTCGATTCATGCCCCCAGCAGGTGCTGCTGCAGCTGAAGCTGTAGCGTTGCCTGTCGGGCGTCCAGGAGAAGGCTGAGCGCGTAGTGCGTTTTCTGCGTGTTGTTGGCGGCTTCTGCAGGCGGACGTGGCGTTGAAGAGGATGCGGGCGCTGCGGCTCCGGCCCCGCGAGGGGAGCTGTTGTCTGCAGGCAGCGAGGTCGTCGAAGGCTGGCTTGTTTTCGTGGAGTTGCGGGTAACGGGCAAAACGAAAGGGTCTTGCGCCAGACGCCGTGGCAGAAGTTGGCTCTTCTGCTTCTGCTTCTGCTTCTGCTTCTGCTTCTGCGTCTGTCGGAGAAGGCGGGCCCAATTTGCGCGGGGTGGCTTTGCTGCCTCGCCAGTCCAGCAGGAGTTGCGGGCGCCGCGGTTGGAGCAGGAGAGTTTCATGTTTTGGCAAAGCGCGCTTGCATGCTTTTTCTTGGATGGCAGGAGTTCGGGAGGGGTAGTAGCAGTTTCAAGGTGCTGTGGCGGCAGACCAAAGAGTGGCGGACCACACGTACAGCTCGCGTGTCTGCCCTCGGTTTTTCCCACGGCAGAGCTCAGTCCAGTTGCAACGAGAGAAAAGAAGAGGCAGGCAGCGGCGCCATTTTTGGGTCCGTTGTTTGAGCTGAAAACGATGCCGTGGCTCCACGGTGCTTGCGCAGGTGACGCTGCACTTGTCAATTGCCATTGCTTGCGGTTGCTTGCTTACAGTTGCTTGCAGTCGCATGCTGTGCTCAGCCCCGCAAACATCAGCTTCGTCCCAAGCCTGTGACACTTTGACCTTGTAACACTTGGTTCTAAAGCCAGCGCAGCAACTAGGGAAGACACTTGCTTTCTGGCACCCTTGGCAGTGGTCTTTGCAATGCCGACGCAGCAAGAGCTTCTTGACCTCAGGCGGCAGATCAGCAACCTCGCCAGGAAGCGCGAGCCTTGGCGGCGGTCCAAGCTGCAGGAGCTCGGAGACCAAGGCGACGCTGCTCTCCAAGCACATCATGATCTACGTGCTGGGAGGCCACTCAGCAAGCCTTGCCGTGGATTTTCTTCTCGGCCGTGGCTGGCGACACCGCTGGAGCGGGAAGGGCTCACACGCAGTGCCGAGCCAGCCAGTGGTGGAGCGGTTGAAGGCAGAAGTGAAACAGGCGTTCCAAAATGCGCCCAGCTCGGGCCTTGATGCCTTGGTCCGGGACCCCACGGCGCACTTTGAGTTTGCGGATCTTGTGTGTGCCCACAAGTATGTCATGGAGCATTCGCTTTACCTTTGGATTTGCAGCCAGAACCATGACCAGGGTGTTGCTCCGTCCCGGCAACAAGTTGCAGCGCAGGCCTTGGCTAGCATTTCTGCAGCAGCTCCCGAACAAGTGCGGGCGCTTTTAGCCAAGCTAGTCGCAGCGCAGGTAAGCCCCGACAGCAGCGGAAGTGGTTAGCTCGTTTCGTTTCCGGAAGAGGTGGGGGGCAAGAATTGGTGTGCTGCGCCCGGGAGAGGAGGTTCCAGTGGACGTTCGCAGGCAGAAGGCGCGGGCTAGTAAGAGTTGCGTTATTATGATTTTGCTGGCGAAACTGTTGCTAGGAACGGGTCTCTTTTGGGCTTGCCGAACGACCCTGGTTTGCTTTTGAAGTGTTTGGCAGGCCCAAAAACGGGTCCGCAAAACGGCGTTTCTTTGCTACAGCAGAAGGCAGCGCGGACCTAAAAATGGGTCCGCCTGGCGGCCCCAATTTTGGCCCCTCAGGCGGCTGCGTTTTTCCAATGGGTGAATGCCGCGGTTGCGGAGGCGCCGCCAGACCGACCGCCTCTTTTGATCAATATGGACGAGACTGCCATTGCGCAGCATTTTTGTGGCTTACGTGGCACTGTTGTTAGAGCATCTCCAGCAAGGGCGGTGGCCGTCGATCGGTCTTCCTTGTCTGACCGCAGAAGTTACATGTCGTTTATTGCTTGCATCACACACGATGCCGCTATTCAGCCCAACCTGCCCCAGGTTTTGTTGGGAAACGAGCGTCTCTTCACGTTGCAAGTACTTCGGTCAGTGAGCGGAAGGGTTGGCAAGGTTGCCTTGTGGCGGCTGAAGTCTGCCTGGAACTGTCACAGCGCAATGCGACTCTGGCTGACACGGTTGACCAGGGCTTTGGGAGCAGTGGTCCGGGAAAGATACGTGATTGTGGTGATGGATGTGCATCCGTCGCACATTCATAGTTCCATCTTTCAGCATGCTCGTAGGTGTGGGCTCAGGCTGGTGTACATCCCGGCAAAGCTCACAGCGCTTTTGCAGCCGTGCGACACGCACCTTTTTGCGCACTTCAAAAGCGCTCTCCGTAAGGCGTGGCTGGATGCAAAGTCGCGTGCGAGTCACGGGGCAATTTCGACAGAGACTTGGCTGGAAGCAGTGTGCTGCGCAATTGAGCAGGTCTTGCCGGGGACAAGCTGGGAGAAAGCTTTTCTTGCCAACGGTCTTCTGGGCCAACAACAAGGCGTGTCTCGCGAGCTTGCAGAAGCGTTGGATTTCGATGGGCGTGTAGAGTTGCCGCATGTGCTCCCCGCACCAGAGGCAGCCTCATGTATCTTTCCTGCCCGCATGAAGTTGGACTTGCTGGGCTACTTGTGTTGGCAGACGAAGTCTGAGCGGAGCCAGGCGCACCGTAGCCCAGCAGACGCAGTCCTCGACGGTGCCTGCCCGACGTCCTCTCCCACCCACATTCCGTGCACCGAAGAAGGTTCGGGAAATCCGTACTCTTGATTGAGGAAGTAGAGTCACGAACTGGCCAGGCCCTGCCAAAACGGCGACGATTCCAAGGGTCTTGCGCGGCCCCAGACGTGGGGCCGCTTGTGGGGCGTTCTGCGGCGTGTGCGAAAAAGCAGTCTTGCCGTGGTCTCACGAGCTCTTGCTTCCCAACTTGCAAACCTTTACGTTTTGGGCGCAGCTGTGCAGGAGATTTGGCCGTCGCATGGAGCTGCGTGGGCAGGCCGAGAGCGCCAACTGCTTGTCTAGGTAGGAGCGGCTGTTTTTGCTGTGTTTTTCCAGTTCTTATTCTGTTCTCCAGTTCTTATTCCAGTTCTTATTCCAGTTCTTATTCCAGTTCTTATTCTATTTTCTCCCACGTTTGTAGGGTTTTCAATTCAGCGCGAAAAAAAGAAAGCTTTTCCTTTCTTTTTAATTCGATCCATTGAAAGTTTGTTTTTTGTGGCACTGCCAACAAACTCGTGAATAAGAACTGGAATAAGAACTGGAATAAGAACTGGAATAAGAACTGGCAAAGGGAATAAGAACTGGAAAAACGCAGGCAGTTGGCCAGTGCTCAGAGAAGGTGTGAGTCTTTGTCGCAGCCAGTGGCCCAACATGAACGGAGAAGCTTGGGACACGTTGGCGCCCAAAGTGCGCGCGGCTGCCGCGGAGATTTTGCAGAATGTGAACAAAGCCGAGGTCTCTGTGCGGGACATGCGCGTCAGACTGGCGCAGCGCCTTGGTCTTCAAGATGATGCCTTGGAGCCACACAAGGAGAGCGTGCGGGGCATCTTGCAGGAGAGCCTGTCGGGCAAGGGCTTGGTGGAAACTCTTCCAGCTGCGCTTGGAGCTAGCGACGTAGCCCAAAAAGTCTACTTGTGCACTTTGGCGCGTGTTCTACCTGAAACCTTGGAAATCAGTGACTTGCGAGATGTCAGGCTGGGCTTGGGCAAGATGCAGGTGGCTAGTTGTTTTCTGGTTTTCTGGCAAGTAAAAGCTGGTGTTGTGCCGCTGTTCCCTGCAGGCTCATGACGAGGGAGGAGGTGGCGTCCGATTAGCTTTTGATGACCCAGTAGCGGAGCCTGGGCAAGCAGGGCGCCCTACTGGGCAACCGTGGTGCGCAAGCTTGCTGTGTTCCAGGAGGAGCACAAAGGAGGCGACACGCACTTCCATGTTGCCGTGCTCTTGTCTTGCAAAAGGCGATGGACGGTTGCCAAGCGAACTCTTAGGGCTCGGGACCACGTGGCAAGTCATTGGTCCGCTTCCCACACGCAGTTTTGGTCAGCTGTGAGATATGGCGCCATTGCCACCTGCGAGAAGCCGGTGATTGACGAGGAGCCTTTCGCAGACGGAGAGGACTGGAGCCTTTTTGAGGCTGCGCAGCAGCCCTGGAACGCTGAGGTCTGGCGCCAGCGCAGTGAGAACGCGGAGCGCAAGAGGCTGTGCAGCGCGAGCAAGGCGACAGCCAAGTTTTCCAAGCTGGACCTGACGGCCTTGATCGTTGCGAAAGACTTGCAAACTCCCGCGGCAGTGATGGCTTACACCCAAGACCATGGCACGCGCAAGATGCAGGAGTGGGTGTGTCAGAACCAGCGGAAGTTGGGCGAGTACGTGGAGGAGGCCTCGGACTGGCAGCAAGCTCGTGACAGGTCCAACGCAGAGAAGGAGACAGAGTGGGCCTTGCTTTGCCGCATGGCTGGCCAGGCTTGCAAGGCTGGCTCCTGTAGCTACGCGCGTGCAGCGCAGCACTTCTTTGCCGCCAATATGAACACCTTGAGCCGGCCTGAGCTTGCCCATGCGCTCCGTGCCATCATTCTTTGTGGGCCGTCGAAGACAACCCGCTGCCCAATCATTGTTGGCCCGAGCAACTCTGGCAAGACCACCCTTGTCCTCCCGTTCGACGACTTGTTTGGGGCTGCGCGGGTTTTTCACAAGCCAGCGTTGAACAGCAACTTCCCCCTTGTGAACTTGTCCAAGGACAAGAGGTTCCTTTTCTTTGACGACTTCCGGCCCATCGAATACGCGCAGGGCACCATCGATGTGAGCACTTTCCTGTCTCTCTTCAACGGGCACCCCTTTGAAATTCGCCAAAGCCAGGCGTTCCGGAACGGCAATGAGGATTTTGCTTGGAGGAAGGGGTGTTGCCTTACTGCAAAGGAGAAGGAATTGTGGGCGCCCTGGGGCAAGGTCAGCGAGGAGGTTCAGCACATGAAGAACAGGATGCGCATCTTCGTGTGCGCGGCAGTATTGTCTCATCTCCGTCAGACTGACCCATGTGTGGAGCGCATGTGCGCATGGATTCAAGACGGAGCTGCAGAGGCAGACGCTGAACTGGTGCTGCAGCCAAGTGTGGCCTCTGGGCGTCGCCAGCCTGCTCGCGCAGGGCCGTTGGCTCTGGCGGGCATGGCAGAGCTTGCTGCGCAGGCCAAGCTGCCCAACGAGAAGGTGGAGGCCTTGAGCGCGGAGCTGACAGCGCTGGGCGCCGTCCACGGAAGGGAAGTGTCGGCAGCAGATTGGACCACGTTGACGGCTTTTAATTCGCTCCTGCCGTTTGAGCGGAGGCGGCTGCTTGCATGTCTCTGACCAGGCCAATTTACTGCGCGTGAAGGTTTTCGTGTTGCGCTTGACAACTCCACAAGGGGCAAGCTTCCAAGAACTCGTAGCAATGGCTTGTGCTAGACGCGATTCCTTTGTGCTGAGGACAAAGCCGAGTTTTCTGTGTCGCGGCCTCAGAGTGTAGCGTGTGTGCTTTCCGTTTGTTGGCGGCGTGAGAAACAACATGTTTAACACTCTAGCTCACAAGCTTGCTTGAAGTCGAAGCCGCGGCGATTTGGTCAGGCCCAATGCCTATAAGCGGCAGTTTCAGGCTGAGCCGTGTTGAGGGAGGATTGATCTGGTCCGAAACAATGTCTCAAAACCAGACCCCAGTTGACCAAATTCTGACCCCCTTGGCAGAAGTAAGCGTTTTTGTGTTTTCGCCTTAGGGTTTAGTGTGTGTGGTTTCCAAATTTTGCGAGCGGCGGTCAGGCCGCGAGGAGATTTAAGCGAAGGCCGGGGCCACGCGAAGTGTCTAAAATTCCGTGGAACAAACGTTTTGCTAGGTGTTTGCCGTTTTGCTGTGATTCCGAAGAAGCGCGTGTCTGTTTGTTTCTACTTGCTTTGTAGCTGAGCCACATACAATCGTGATAGACAAGTCAAGAGGTCAATAGGCAGGCAAATGAAATGGATAGACGGAGACATGCGCGTGTGTTGAAGCTTTTTGGATTGTGTCTGCAAGCTTGCTGGAAGCCAAAGCAGTTGGAGTTCAAGCGTTTGCCAGGTCTTGTCATGTGATGTTGGCAGGCCCGACCGTGAAGAAAGCAAAAGCCACCCCCGCTCCCCCGAATTTCAATGTTGCCGGTGCGTATTGCCGGACATGCAACATTGAAATTCGGGGGCACGGGGGTAGAGCGCTGCTTGCCAGACGCACAAAGCTTTCCTCCAGCGTTTTTGCCCTGCAGCCATTTTCAAAGAGACGCGTGGCTGCCAAGTGTGTAGTTGGTTCAGGCCGCTTGCCAGCTGCCAACGTGCGTAACACAGCGCTTCCCGTGTCACTGCAGGTCACCATGGCTCCGAAGCGGATCCAGCCAGCTGGCGGGGCATGACGAGGCACACCTCACGGAGGAGCAGGGCGCAGGCAGCAGGCCCCATCCTCAGCTCTCGAGGGGCACTGGGTGGTCGAGCACGCAGTGTCGGAACTTCAGAACCAAGGTGGAGACGCTCGCCAGCGCATAAGGGCCGAGGAGCGTGAGCTTCCAGCTGCCCTGCGAGGAGGACGTGCTGCAGAGCCTCGAGGACAAGCCGCTGCAGCTGGCCGAGCTGCTGCAGCTGAGCGTGGAGGAGGTGTGCGCCGACTTCGACCCATGCTGCGCCACGACTGGAGGCTGTGGCGCAACGCGCCGATGCGCGTGCTAAGCTCGCGGGCACTCTCTCTTTTATTCCACCTGAGAGGCTCCTCGCATTTGACCTCCTGCAAAGGATTCGAAGTCTAAAACGCTGCGTGCAGCGTGTGGCTGCAAAATAACGTGAAAAGGGGTCCCAAAAAAAGGGGTTCCCGAAAAAAAAGAAAAAGGGGTTTCTTTGGCAAAGCTTGACATCGCTTGAAATGCAACTTGCGGCGCATATCTAGGGTCATTATTTTGCAGCCACACGCCTGCACGCAGCGTTTTGGATTTCAATCCTTCGCAGGACGGTCATTTCCTGGCGAGTGTTAGGAGCCTCAGGTAGAATAGAATCATTTGGGAAACGACCGGAATGCAGGGATTCCCTGCATTGAATCGAATCCATTGAAAACGCTCTCTACAGAGAGCGCTAGAGTTGTCCCAGTGGTGGGGGATTCTACCTCCCACAACGCGGACATTTGCCGGGGTGTGTGTTTGCTTCTGCGGGGAATGGAGGCGAGTCGGCTTCGGGTCGGGTGTGTCTGCGGGGAATGGAGGCGAGTCAGCTTCCGGGTTGTGTGTCGCGGGAATGGAGGCGAGTCAGCTTCCGGGTTGTGTGTGTTGTCTTCTGCGGGGAATGGAGGCGAGTCAGCTTCCGGGTGTCTTCTGCGGGGAATGGAGGCGAGTCAGCTTCCGGGGTGTATGTGGTGTCTTCTGCGGGGAATGGAGGCGAGTCAGCTCCGGGTGTGTGG